TAGAGTGTTTTGAGTAAACACAACGAGTCAGCCAAAGCTTATTGGTGTATAGTCCAGGGCCACATTGTGCCTGGACATGTCGGTGAAATTAGTGAGGACAAAAAAAAAAACTCGGGAATTTTCACGAAGTATTCATGCAAAGGCCGAACCACATATTTGTGTGTTTGATCTTATATTTACCATTAATGTACACACCTCACATTAATTTCAAAAGCAACACATAATATCTACACCTCGTAAGCACCATAGAATTGTGCAACGTCAATTACGGTTTGCTTCTCCCTCACAAGTATAACGTTCCTTGCTCATGCAGTCAGCAGGGCAGTTTCGTATGGTGGTTTTGCGGCGTCAAACCCCACATATCAATCAATCAATCAGCAGGGCAGTTACAATGCTGTACAAATATGCACTGTGTCTACCTTTTTCAGTCACTAAACATTTTTTTTGCGTAGCAGGTACGCCTTTTTATAGATGTTCAGTTTGTCGCAGTTTAAGCGCCCTCATAAGTCTAGCGACGACGTGCAGCTAACCGAACAAAACAGCTAGCATTTAGAAAATGTAACCTTGTGTAAAGTATCCTCACTGCACTCTAAAGGCGTGTTATCAAGTGAACGTTGCTGAAGCTGTCCCTGGTATGCACAAAACTGTTGGCAATCTTCTAGTGATCAGACGACGTCACAGCAGCGTAGAGTTGTGTTCTGCTGAGGGACCGACGTGGTGCTTAACCGGGTCACTCGCGGCGAAACTAGCCCGTGCGAATCTCGCCGTTCTTCACCTTCTTTTCTTCCCTCTCGTTTTCGTTTGATCTCACCGCGATTCCGTCGTCTGTGCCCACTTACGCAATGTCACAAGTGCTCCCGCGCGGTTTCATTGATGCCGGCCGGGATACAGGACTTGCAAGCAGCCTGTAGCGCGCCAACGAGAAGGACTCCGAGAACGCGTGTACGGCCGTGTGCACACGTGTGCTGGTAAAAAGCGCCCGCTATACGAGCATGTGCATTCTCCTACGTCGTTTCTTGTAACACTAAAACGCACAAAGTGTGCTATAAGGTCTACGAACAATGCTTGTTATCAGGTGGCTCAAGCGCACGGGTGATCTAAGCTGTTAAGGAGAGCATTGTCCTCGAAAAAGGTGGCGCCTTTGTTTTCATTTTTCCCCCCACCTAGATCAGGTGTACGCACTTTCTTTCAAATCGACCTGGGGAACTTTGTAAACATTTATGGGTGCTCAGCTCCCTGGCAAGTTCGCACTTATAGGGCAGGTATTTATGTAGGCCAGCTAAATGTCTTGCTGTGGCGCGCATTGCGTGAAAATGCACGCGAGCCCAGCAATGCACAGGACCTTTGTCACGCACAATTGTACCTACGAATATGTCTTCCTAAATTTTTTCTACTTGTAAGTGTACCTCACTAAATCTCGACCTCTCTGAGCACCTCGACTTCGCGTGCGGGTTTTCGTTGTTTGTAAATTTATTCGACTTTTGAAAGCTGTATGTAGGTCCCTGAAGGGACTGACTCTCCTCAGATGTAGATGCCTTCGTGGAAACAAATTGTTTACGTGCTTCACAATACCCATTCTATATATTTCATTGAAATTATGCAGCTTAAATCAATGGTTAGAAAGAGAGTTTGTCTTTGTTAGTTGTTTAATTGCGCGAAAATAATGTTAAAAAATGGGTTCTCACTTGCTTTACAGAACTGTGGACAATAATGTTTTGCTGGATTTTGTTCTACGTGTGCTTCCTATTGTTCCTGTTAATTTCAGCTAAACCGCCCCCAATAAGGTCAATCAGAACTTATGGTACCCTCGCGGTAACGCACGAACTCAAGCATGCAGTCTAAAAAGCGGAGTTTTCACAGACTTGTAAGCTGCAATTTTGTGACGGCAAATTACCACTGTCTTTAGGTGCTGATGTTCAGTTTAACGACGACCTGCATTCTTCGTTCAGTGATCGTGACATTGTACAGTTGGACCTGTTGATCTCATCGGGCTTTACAATAGAGGCGCGCATTTTCAATCATTCCCAGCTGTGAACTTTTGTCTGATCCATAATAAATAATTTTCAAGTTTTTCTTTTATCAACGAATCTGTTTAGGCTCACCGTATTATTGTTCTTTCCGAAACAGAAATGACCATCATCACCAACCGGCACGCGCTCTCTACATCCTCTTCGTTATGCTTCGCTCCCAAAACACGAGCACCGGTTTCTCTGGCGTGCCATGTAATAAGTTAGCTGATAGATAATAGAACGCGTACAGCGACTAAGAAAGAAACAAAGAAAGAAACAAAGAAAGAAAGAAAGAATGAAATAAAGAAATAAAGAAAGAAATAAAGAAATAAAGAAATAAAGAAAGAAATAAAGAAAGAAATAAAGAAATGAAGAAAGAAATGAATAAATAAAGAAAGAAAGAAAGAAAGAAATGCATACATACATACATACATACATACATACATACATACATACATACATACATACATACAGAAAGAAAGAAAAAGAAAGAAAGAAAGAAAGAAAAAGAAACAAGAAAGAAAGAAAGAAAGAAAGAAAGAAAGAAAGAAAGAAAGAAAGAAAGAAAGAAAGAAAGAAAGAAAGAAAGAAAGAAAGAAAGAAAGAAAGAAAGAAAGAAAGAAAGAAAGAAAGAAAGAAAGAAAGAAAGAAAGAAAGAAAGAAAGAAAGAAAGAAAGAAAGAAAGAAAGAAAGAAAGAAAGAAAGAAAGAAAGAAAGAAAGAAAGAAGAAAGAAAGAAAGAAAGAAAGAAAGAAAGAAAGAAAGAAAGAAAGAAAGAAAGAAAGAAAGAAAGAAAGAAAGAAAGAAAGAAAGAAAGAAAGAAAGAAAGAAATCTGAACTTGCGCACCCTCATTCCGAAGGAGAGCTTTCTAACCACTCGGCTATCCAGGCACACTAGCAGAAGGTAGCATAGCTTTGCATAGTATTCTGTGGAAATGGGGTGGAAAAGGTAAGTGAACGTGAGGAGGAAAGATTTGATGGTGAGGGAAATGGAAAGGAGAAGGGAAGAAAAAAAGCGCAAAAGAATGATGGACATAGAGATAGATACAGAAGAAATAGCGATAAAGAGCGAATGAAGGAAAGAAATAAAAGAAGTAGTGATATATATATATATATATATATATATATATATATATATATATATATATATATATATATATATATATATATATATACAAGGGAAAGAGGTGTATACCTAAGGGCTCGTTTTTCCTTGTTTTCACACAATAATAATGAGATCTAACAGACAATAATGCCAAGGAATGTATAGGGGAAGTTATTAGAACAAATGTAATGTAAACAAGAAGAAAGAAAAGTGGGTGAAAAAATAACCAGCCGTGAGCAGGAATCGAACCTACGACCTTCGAATAACGTACTCGATGCTATATATATATATATATATATATATATATATATATATATATATATATGTGGCAAGAAAGAGAAAGAAGGAAACGTATATAGGAAACATATATGAAGAAAAACAAATAAATAGCAATAAACAGGCACAAAGAATTTAAGCGAAGAGAAAAGAAAGCGTCAGTGTTGGAAAAAAAAGACAAATTTGGAAAAACTTGACAATAAGAAACCAGGACTACCTCTGCAGCCCTTCAGCTCAGCTGTCTCTTTAGCGTTGCGCTTACAGTGCTACGTTAAATTTTAGAATTTTTCATTGCCTTTGTTAAAAAAACTTTCGTGTTCATTGCTTTAGTTACGACATTACGACTGATAGTAGTCGTGTCGTAGAGTATTTGATTGCTGTGGAGGCGAGGTTGATAGTTTTAAATGATGAGATTTCACGGCAGCTCAGCCCGGAAGCTTTGTGCAGATGTACATTAAATACGTTTATTTTACCCAGTTCAATGTTTGCTCGAATGGTTGTCTTGTGTGTTAATTGATTCAGTTTTTAACAACAATTATTTTATGCGATCAAGACGAGGCACGAGCACAAGGAAGCATCGCAGGCTAGGTGTAACTGCCCTGGTATGCAATGCGTACAGCCCTCATGCTTAGTTCACTGCCTCTTCCATTTATGTCGCGTGATTCTTTGCACAATAAAAACGTGACCAGATTTGCAGCTAACAAATTTTTTGTTGCCCACAGTTTATAGTAATTACGGCAAAAAAAAAACATCGGCGTTCACTGCAATTTCGCTATAGAATGATTTGCGTACAGCCATCAAATCTCGTGTTTCCGCGGCAGCCTTCAAAAATGACCACAAACATCACTATCCTAACTAAGTGCATCATGTCATATCTCTTTTCAAATCGACTTTTTTTCTCACTACCTGTACCTTTTGTTTTCTCTTGATTCGCTTATTCATGTTCCACTGATATAATTATAAACGCTTTAACTCACTTGTTTCGACTTTGCTCCATATTTTGTTCGTTTGCTGTACTAGTCATTACGCTCTGTATATGCATAATTAATCAAAGGTCCCACTACAGTTTCTTACTTTGGGACCCTTGCTTGTATATTGTTCATGTTCTATCGTCTTGTTTTGAAAGCAATAAGCTGGAACTGAAATCAAAACTGCATGTGAACGTATCATAGGGTGCGTGTTCTGTTGTACGGGTGTGTATTGGCCGCATCAGCGTGTGGCACCATGCTTGTCCATGTGCACTCAACACAAAAACCTCCTTGTCTTGGCGAGACACTTTCGCAGATTTTCTACCTTATGTCACGTTCTTTCTACACTCGAATTCATAACCAGGAATGTCCCATTGCATTTTTCTTTTGATGTCGTCATGTATAGTTTACCGCTTTGTAAAAAGGTGAACTTTTTTTAGTTTCTGGAACCTTTCATATTTTATTCCATAGCTTTTCGTTTTATATCCTTGATTAGTTCTATGAAAGATGCAAATTTTTATTTGCCTTACATAACAACCGTTCATCCCCACCATTGGGATACCTTTGTTATGTCTGTATTCTTATGTCTGTCGCAATTCCTGTAGTCATGAGTTCAACGTTCTCGTTCGGTTTTATCACGCAGGAAACATCGCGCCGAATGTGCAGTACCGAAGACGACGCAGACTCTTCGGATGATGAAACCGAAGACATCGCAACTGAGTGCGCGACCACCAAACAATCCGGCGGCCACGTCGATCCGCGGGTTGCAACAGTCGAACCTAGCACGGAGGCCCACCCGTCGGTCTCGGCGGCAGCCGGCGACGCCAAAGCGTTGAGCAGAACTCCGAGCTGCCGCTGCCCTCGTTCGGAGGCACCCTTCTCGGCACGGCGGCTAGTTCAGTCTGCTGGTTCGGTGAACGATGAGGTACCATGCATCTGCTGCAGCACCGAGGACGCCGACTCACTGGGTGAGCTTCAAGTCTATCACACTGCTTCGTACGCCACGGGGTCCGTTTCCGTTGAGAGTAGGCTGAAATCTTCGTTGACGACCAGCATGTCTTCGGGGCCCGTCACGAGGACTGTCCACGTGACAACGACCGTTTCCAGCGTGTCGCCGGTTGAGACACTGCGCGGCAGTTTCTCGAGAAGGTGCATGAATTCGCTGACCACCGTGTGCGTTCCTCTTCTCGTCGACCGATTCAGCTGGCAGTCGGGCCGCGTCCACCACGGCATCGTCCGCCAGCCCAGTTTTCGAAGACGAAGCGGATCATCCGTGGCCAAGGGTCATTTGGCGTCGCATTGCCTCGCACGAAGCAGCAGTACGGCCCAGCCTCAACTGGGCTTCCCGTCTGACGAAGTTAAAGAAGCTCCCAGTACCTTTTCGAATAAATCGCGACCAGTTTGCGACGGCACAACGGTGTCTGTGAAAGAACTGGCTGCTTCTCTGAAAGACCTCGAAGAGGACACGGACGAACCGATACGATTCTTTTTCACCGCACCGTCGCCGACACAGGAGCAACCCTCGACGGTTGGAGCCGCCCAGGCATTGGCGAAAGGGGAACATTGCGTAGCCGATGCTCAACCTCTATCTGTGAACTCGAATTCAGGCGTTTGGAGGTGCCGCAAGAACAGTGAAGGTCCTGGAGGTGCACTTAATAAAAATGGCAGTCACGTGCTGAAAGTACCTGAACGTCCGACAGAACTGCCATCCAAAAAGGTAAGTGTCTACTTTTAGTATTTAGCTAATGGTTTTTTATTGTTTTTCACGATCTGTAGATCCCTTACATACGTGCTGCATGCGTCTTTTTGAAGTAGCACTGATGCGGTTTACTCCGATTAAATTGTCACTTTTAATGTATTGAATTGTTTACTCCTTTCCCCTCCGACTGAACTTCCTGAGGCGTGTACGTGTTCCTGGACTTCCTTTTTGCGAAAATATTTATTGAAATTGTGTACCGGGTTACTGTTAGAATGTTCTAGGAATTTTAAAATTGCTTTTCCGTATCCGGAAGAGTTCTTGGTAAAAAAAAGCATACAAATTAATAAATGTGCGGGCACTTCGCCTGAAAAAGATGCCCGAAAAAGATAGGTAACGTTCTGCTTACACCGTTTACTAGAGTTGTATATGCCCCCATCGGGAGCAGAGCTGCGTATAGGTACGTACCTGCTCACTGAGGCGTCTACGCTAAGCAGGAAAGCCAACCATCTCGAATATAGGAGCCGGCGCGTCTCAGCGGCTTTGGGTGCTTTCTCGCTCGTTCATAACGTGTCGCTGGCTAAATAACATTCACTTCGAAGAGAGAAAACAACTTAGACAGACAATGAAATTATATGATGGTCGATAGCAGCCACTATTGCCAGTAATATTTTTGTTTTAAATAGCGAACTCGAAAATTTCCGACAGACACGATTATGGACAAATGAAGTTGAGCGAATCACTTGTGTCATGCACATAGTGTTTTTGACGCAGTGCTTTAAAAGATAAAGTAGATGGCTTAAGAAAAGAAGTGCTAAACTTATCACTCTGTGGTTTTACAAATAACGCAAATGAGAATTTTAGACATATCTAGGTAGATGTGGCATAAAATAGATGAGGCTTCAAAATTTTATGTCGCACAATGGTCAGACTGAATTATGCTGTTTTGATAGACCTGTGTAGGTGAATATTACCACATTCACTCGGCCACATTTTTATTGTTTTGTCTTTTTTAATCTAGGTGAATAGCTAGCCAGCCGTTGAATAATGGGTGGGAATCAATACATATCCTGATTGTTTTCTTATACTCAGTCAAAAAATATTGCTATGAAATCTATATTTATACGATATAGTCAGATTTTCGCATGATGTGTATGTGAACGTGCATTCTCCAACGTACTGTTACGCTAGAATAAATGAGTCCTACTGAACTGCCAACACATTCTACTTGCAGTGGCGATTTCGACGGCCGACGAATGTGCTATTGTGTGCAACTTGAGCTGAAACACGGAATTCATGTTTATTTGACTACTTGCAATGCACTGACAGGACTTTGACGTACTTGATATACCTTTCCACTCAAGCATTTAGAGTCATGAACATTTCTGCTCTTGTAAAACGATGTTTGCTACGGCCTTTGAAATGTTATTTCAGGGTCCCATGGCGATTCAACAATGTCACTTTCATGTGGCTTTTTTTCTGACGCATGCAAAGCAGAGTGATTTTTGTGCCTTGGAAAAACAAACTGGCAAGAGTAGGACATGGTCGTTGCACAATATCTAGCTCATAGAGTCGCTGAACGGAGAAAGCCCTTTCGTTTTTTTTGTGCAGTGTCATTGTCGCAACTTCGAAGCAATGGTGACGTCCTAGGCACCACAAAAAGTGACGTTCACTAATAACGGACAATACCAAACACCACCACACCGCAAACGAAAAAAAAATATTCAGCACTCTGCCGGATCAAGTCGCCGGACGGCCGGACAGGCTGAGAAGCGGTGGCGGTTGCGGTCGCTAACAAACGCGCGGCCGTAAAGTTGGCTTTCCCGCGAAAGGATGTTTTTGCGCACGTGAGCGTGCTTGGCGAATAGGGGCGCTAGCGACGAATTCTACCAAATGCGCTGCTCTGCTACATAAAGTTGATACATACAGCAACTCGAGTATCCCCTTCATGGCTTCAGGCGTGAATTGTGACGCACTCTCTGCATATGTGTCAAGTTCACATACCATATTTCCGAGGCACTCGATAATACATTTCAACAAAGAACAACTAAATTGTTGTTCTTTATGAGTTTCAGCAATTACTTGCAATTAGCATGTAATCAATTACTTTATTACTCTGCCGTCAGTCATGTTTCATTTTGACATAAAAAAAAGTGGAATCATGGGCACGAAATGTCTGCGAAGTTAGTTTTTTGTTTCATTGATCTCGAGAAAAGAAAAGTGATATTTTTCTATGTTGGTTTTGGAACGCAGCACGTTAAACTACCCGTCTAACATCGTAGTGCCTTCTCGAAAGTAATCGGTTAACCTCATACGCACGCTCTGACGTCACGTCAGGACACATTGACTACGCAGAGCTTGGAATTCGTCTAATCATCTATGTATATTGCTTTCTTTAGGCCACAAACGTGCAGAACAAGTACCGACAAGCTGCGTACACAAACGCAGCCACGACCACTGAAAGAATTATATACGGCAACAGGGTTCAGATAAACGGTAGTTAGCTGCGGTTGAGCTACAGGAAATGACGCTCACAAAAGGGCCATGCAGTTTTCTAGACAGTGTGACACCAATTTGAGCCAGGCCACCATATTATCACAAAATGACGAAAAGCAACAACACAGCAGGCATTACGTTCCAAAATATTCGCGCTATTAGAATTAGGCGCACCTTAACCCTTTCGGCCCTGGCGGTGTCAAATGACACCACCGCACAAATTTTTCCCTAGTAGCTCGGAAACGTAACCAATACTGCTCATTCTTGGGGGCTTAGTTCTTCAATGATCCCCACTGCAATTGAAATCAATATTGCGGCACGTTTGTGGAGGTAGCAGCCACGAAGAGGAAGAAGCGCGACCGAGGTTTTCCGTGAAGCCGAGGCGCGTAAGTTGAGGCGGGTAAGCGCCATTTTCGGGACGACGTACCGAAGCTGTTTCAGTGGGTTTCAGGCTAAAAAGTAAAAGGTTGGTTTCCATTTCGTGTGGACCATCGATTGGCAGAAAAAAATAAGCCACTTTTTTCAATTTCCAATCACAGGACCCTAATTACCTAATTTGATGCCATGCTAATTATTCCGAAACTGCTTGTACCAGTGGCTCAAGTTTTTGTTTGTGGTCTTCTGAGGTCCTAACTACGAGAAAAATGCGCACAAAAAGTGCATCTGACCAAAATAAAAAATCCAGGGCTGAAAGGGTTAAAGAGCCTGAGATGATCAGAATTAATCTGGAGGGCAGCATGCACTATACGCCGTTTCACCTAGTAATTTCGAAGTTATGACTATAGTATTAACATATAGTGTGTGACCTTTAGTTAGCACTATAGTATGAGCCATAATTCATTTTTAACAGTGAAGCTGTTTAAGCGGTTGGGAACTTGTGTTCCCCCATAAAAAAAGTGATTACCATGAACCGGCATGGGCTCTCTTCATCCTTTTTGATGTGAAGTTGTCCAAGCTATCGGTAAGTTGTGCTCCGTCGTCCAAAACTCCTTAGGTGCGTATGCGCCAGAGGCATTCGGCAAGCCCGTCCACCGTGGGCAGCAGGTGCGAGTGTCGAACGCGTGAAAGAGAGAAAAAGCAAAGAAAGAGAAAGATAGAAACGAAAAGAACAAAGACTAATAAAGATATTGAATAACATAAAGAGAAAGAGAGAAGAAAGGGTGATAAAAGGGGGAAGAGAAAATAAAAAAAGAAGCGAATAAGGACAAATGATGAAAAGACAGACATCGACGGAGAAAGAAAGAGAGAAACAAATAGATAAAAAGAAAGAAGTGGTACAGAATGACTAAGTTAGAGAAATAGAACGAGAGAAAAAAATAGAAAGAAACTAATACGAGAAACATTTTAGAAAGATAAATAAAGAGAAGTTGAAAATACAAGAAAGTTAAAAATAGATGAACAAAGCCATCTAGCTCCGCTATTCTGTCAGGCTTGGCCCCACTTGTGCCATAGAAAAAAACGGAGAGCAAGCAAGAGAGGAAGAAAAAGAAATAGAGAAACAAAGAAAAAGTGCGAAAGAAGCCAGAAAAAAAAAGGTAGAGAGAGAACGAAATATAGAAAGAGCGAGAAAGAGCAAGAAATATATTGAGAAAGAAACAAATATAGAAAAACATATACAAATGAAGATATTGAATAAAACAGAGAAGATAGAAGAGAAAAAAAAACAAGGAAGGCCACCCACCTCGGCTCCTAGTGGTGCCGTCAAACTGGCCCCACTAGTGCAATACTGCAACAATTTTTCTATAATTCTGAAAGGGCTCGGTAAAATTCAGGACGTAGCGCAGGTATATGACAATTCATCACAGGTTCTTGTAACTTCCTTCTGACATAATAATCATGGTCATTTCGTCTACACACACGGAAGTCCTGCCTCTGATACATTTAAACAAGGCATTGGGCTTTTGATGTTGGCCACGTACAAAAAAAAAATAACAGACTCGCAATGGGATTGTGCCATTCGGCTGCCTTTGGATCCCGGAACTACTAGGCGAAAGCGTTCAGCTGCTGCTGACCATTGGACTGTGAGCCTACATGTCCTAAAAGCAGCCTCGGTATATATCCACATCACGCCTGTGCCCCTGCCTTTCTGTGTGTCCACGTATGTATCAGTGATACCGGGCACGTTTTCTGAAACAACGAGAGTGGCGTACAGAAAGGCGCTTACATGTGAAGGTGTACGACTCATGATAAAGCACAAGTCGCCGTGAAGCTGCTACTGAGACCTTTCCTAAGCTTTCGAGATAAGCTTCTCAATTTTCTCTTCTTTCTGATGGCAACACCCTTCATGTCGGCAAGTCTAAATCTGGGAGATGAGGGCAAACTGTGGACGAGTGATCAATATTTTACTCGAAACGTGAGGCTAGAAAGTCCGTTGGCAAGACAATCGGGGGGTTGGGGGGGGGGGGGGGGGGTAGGTGAAATATAAATCTCCAACCTAGGGAATATAATACTTGGAGAGGATAGAAGGGAATCATGAAATGGCGGTAGTATAAAACAAAACCAGGTGAATTGCAAAGTGCAGATCT